GCACCGGGGCGGCCCCGCCGCGCACCGGCACCGGCGCGGCTGCGGACGGGGCGGGAGGCGACGCTGGCACGGCACCGGGACTGCTGAACCCGCACCGGCACCGCGCGGGACCGGCGCTGCCTGGCACCGGCACCGGGACTGGCACCGGGACTGCCTGGGATCCGCGCTGCCTGGCACCGGCACCGGGACTGCCTGGGATCCGCACCGGGACCGGGACTGGCACCGGGACCGGGACTGCCTGGGACCCGCACCGGGACCGAGACCGGCACCGGGACTGCCTGGGGCTGGCGCTGCCTGGCACCGGGACCGGGACTGGCGCTGCAGCAGCGCTCGCATGGCCCGGGGACCAGCAGGACACCGGTGCCACCAGCCCTGTGCCACCCCGTGCCGGACTGAGACCGGCACCGGGGCTGGCTCTGCCTGGCACCGGGACCGGGACTGGTGCTGCAGCAGCGCTCGCACGGCCCGGGGACCAGCAGGACACCGGTGCCACCAGCCCTGTGCCACCCCGTGCCGTGAAAGGGCCCGGCCCCGGGGCTGGCACCGGCAGCGGGCTCCCAGCACGGGCGGGCACACGGCAGCGCCTGTTCGTCTGTGCCCCCAAACCCCTGTGCCCCCAAACCTGGCACCCCGTGTGCCCCCAAACCTGGCACCCCGTGTGCCCCCATACCCCTGTGTCCCTAGACCCTGGCACCCCCTCTGCCCCCTGTACACACTCTGCAGGTGAGATCCCACACACGGAACACACACCCCCTGCACACCAGATTGCACACATGGAACACAGAACATGGGATCCCACACACGGAACACACACAGAACACACACCCTGCACATGGGATCCCACACACGGGTCACACTTTGCCCATGGGGGGGCAGGGGGGGTGATGCTGGGGGGCACTGGGATGCTTGGGGGCACTGGGGCTGATGCTGGGAGCACTGGGTGTGATGCTGGGGGTGATACTGGGGGGCACTGGGGGTGTCCCCAGCCGGGCGGCCCCGCAGGCTCCCCGGGCCCCGCTGGTGGCAGGGCCACGTGGCAGCCCCGGCAGCGTCACACGCGTGTCCCCCCCCAGCCGTGAGTCACTGCCCAGCAATGCCGGGGCCGGCCCGGGGCTGGGGGGGCCCCACCTGCACCCCCCCGTGCCTGGCACCAAACCCCTGGCACTCCTCCCCGCTTCCCACCAGGACCTGCTGCATCCATCACCAAAGAAAAGCCCTTTTATTGATGCTGGGGAGGGACTCAGAGAAGGAGCTCGGGGGAGGGACTCAGAGAAGCCACCACGGCCCCCAGCACAAGCAGGGGGGGCGAGCTGGGACCCCCCAACCCTTCCTTCCATTCCTAAAGGGACAGCAGGGCAGGGAGCTGCGAGAGGGAGGGGCTGGGCTGGGCTTTTCCGTGTTCACAGTGAGTTTGGGGCTGGGGAGGGGGTCCCACGCTGGATCTGTGCTGCAGGGGGGGTTCCCACCCCCAGTTCAGACCCCCGGAGCACGTTTGGGGTGAGGGGAGGGAGCAGGGAGGAGAGCACGGGATCACACGTGGCTGTGCTCAGGGTGCTGGGAAGCAGGATTCAGGGTTTTGGGAAGCAGGATTCACCTCTGCTGGCCACGCCAGACCCTGCAGGACCCCAGCAGGTCCTGAAGAGCTTTTCCAATGAAATCAGCCTGGGAAAGTGGCTGCTCCAGTGTGGCTGCAGCAGGTCCGAGGTCACGGGGAGAGAGGGAGGGAGCACGGGGGGGAGGTAATTTGTTCCCTGAAAATTCCCGTGAGGGATTTGTCACACCCTCCCTCCCACTCCAGAGCCGAGGGAGGAGGGGGAGACCAGCACTGCGGGCTCAGGGTGGGATGGGACCCTTCCTTCACCCACGGGCAGCTTTGGGGGACAGGGGGGGCAGCGCTGGGGGGGCCCCCACTGCCGAGGGACTGGGGAATGGCACTTCACTGAGAGAGAGAGAGAAAAACAGAGAAAAAGCCACGTGCCGCTGCAAGAGCCGGGCAGGAGCTGGGTGGGCTCGGGGCCTGGAGCAGCCCCGGGGGTCTGCAGCCCCCCAGGAGCCCCCCAGCAGCCCCCCTACTCGATCAGCTCCACATAGTTGGCGGGGAACATCCCAAAGTGGCCGTCGGGGCCGTAGCCGCGCCACCAGCCCTCGTCGATCATCTCGATGTGGGTGATGATGTTCTCAGGGTCAAAGGAGATCTCGGTGTCGTCAGCTGCAGCAGGACAGAGGGACAGAGGGCTCAGGGTGTCCAAAGCACCCCCAGCCCGGGGGTTTGCAGGGTTAGGGGGATGTGGAGCTGCTGGAGCGAGCCCAGAGGGGCCACGGAGCCAGGCTGGGAATGCTCCCCTGGAGCTCCAGGGACACCTTAGAGCCCCTTCCAGTGCCTGAGAGGGCTCCAAGAGAGCTGGGACAAGGGATGGAGGGACAGGACAAGGGTCTCACCAGCCTGGTAGTCGTAGAGTGCCCGGGCACAGAGCCCCTTCCCTGCCAGGTCTGGGGGCTCCTGGTACTCTGCCCTGTAGTCGTATTTGGCATCGTCACCTTGTTCCTTCAGGGAGGAGAGGAGAGCAGGAATTAGCAGGGGAACAGTGAACAACAGTGCCCAGGAATGTCCATCAGCCCCCCAGGCTGGGGGAGCTGTGGCTGGAGGGTCTGGGTGCCCTCTGGAATGAAAGCTGGGCTCCAGGGAAGCTGTGCCACCTGCCTGCCACAGCAGCTCTGAGCCTCAACGGCAGTGCCTGTGCCTGGGGAGCTCACCCCAGGGCAAACACCAGAGGCAGAGAGCCCAGGGATCCCTGCTGCAGCCAGGCTCAGCCCCAACAGCTCCTGAAACATTTCTGCCAGAGCCTGAGCTGGCCAAGGTCTGCTTTCCTCAGGAAAGGCTGAGGGGATCACGAGCCCATCTCCTCTGGGACCCTTTGGAACCTGCTGGACACCTCCAGACAAGCTCCAGAAGGAGAAAATGCTTGGAATGCTGATGGAGCACAGCACAGCCCCAGGAGGAGCCTCAGGAGGAGGAGGAGGAGGAGGAGAAGGGGCTTTGGAAGAGGCTGATGGATCCTCTCCCCACACTGGCTCTGGGATGTGGCTCTGACACATCCTCCTGGCTGGAGCAGCCCAGGGGTGCAGGAGGGGTGCCAGGGACACAGCAGCCCCCCCTGAGCTCTGGGGTTCCACCATTTCCAATTATTTTAGCTCAGATTTTGAGTTCCGGGCTCATCCCAGGGGTGGAACAAGCCAGGCTCTCCCAGGCTGGGGTCCCCAGACTCACCTGGGGGGGCTCCTCGTAGATGGCCGAGGGCTCCGGGGGCTCCTCGTACAGGTTCTCCTCCACCTGGGACCCTGGCACACCAGAATTGTACCCAGAGTCTCGTCCTGAGGAGAAACCAGGGCTCTGTCCCCTCAGCTGGCCAGGCTGGGGTGACAGCAAGGTGTCCCCAGGTCCCCGTGCAGCCAGGGTGAGCGAGCAGGGCTCTGGGGGGCAGTGGAAAGGACAAAGGGAGGAGCAGGGGAAGGGATGAGCTGGCTCGGGAGGGAAGGGCTGGAGCAGAGCTGCTGGCCAAGAGCAGCATCTAGTGGTGACAGTGGCCTGGGGACAGCAGAGCTGGCCCAGCACGTCCCTGCTCCCTGCCCGCCCAGCCCGGCCAGTCTGTGACTCTGGTTTGGGGACAAGGCCAGCCCTCAGTGCCACCTACAGCACACGGGGACAGCTCTGGGCACAGCCAGCCCTGCCCTGGCATCACTGCCCCCCCAGGGCACTGGGAAATGCCATGGCAGGGACACCTCCCCCTGCCCCAGGGGCTCCAAACCCTGCCCACCCTGCCCTTGGCACTGCCAGGGCTCCAAACCCTGCCCAGCCCAGCCTTGGCACTGCCAGGTGCTCTGGGCAGCTGTGCCAGGGCCTGCCACCCTCTCAGGGCCATCCCTCCCCCGTATCCCACCCATCCCTGCCCTCTGGGCATTCCCTGTGGGCTTCACTGGCACAGGGAGAGCCCAGAGCAGCTCTGGAGCCCCTGGGGCTGGGGGTGCAGCCACCCTGGGCACTTTGTGCCAGCCTGTCCCAGCCCTGGGGCAGCTCTGGGGGGGCACAGAGCCAAACCCCAGCAGGAGACACCCCCGTGCCCCTGGCACTGAGCCCTCAGCTGGGGACAGGCAGGAACCATCCTCATCCTCAGCATCAGGCACAGATGGGGGAAAACCAGATGGAATCTCCACCCCAAAACCCCCAAAATGCCCAATTTTGGGAGATGCAGGTGGGAAAACAAGGAGAGAAGCTGTGGGGAGAGCAGGGAGCCGTGCAGGTACCTGCTGCAGGCACGGGGGAGGCCGGGGGGGACCCCCAGAGGTCCCGGCTGGGGGAGGCAGGGCCGGGCACCGAGTTCAGCTCCTGCTGCAGGAAGGGGCTGCGCAGCTTCCCTGCAGGGAGAGGGGAGGGGGCTGCTCAGGGGGGGCTGCCAGCCCAGCCCTGCACCCACACACTGCTGCCTCACCCGCCCGGGCGGGATTTTCCAGCTCCTGGTTGAGGGGTAACTGGTTGAAGCGGCAGCCAAGGGGGAAATTAAAAAAGAAAGAAATTGTTTTTGTGGAGGAGGAAGGGCTGGAGGGTCTGGCTCTCCAGGGTGACCCCGGGAGCACCCGGAAATCCACAGACACCAGACTGGGAGGGGACGATGCAAACTGGTTTCTGCCAGGGCACTTCCTGTGGCAGGAGGGAACTGAGCTGCTATCTCCTCATCTCCACCTCCAAACCAAACAAAAGCTGGGGAGAACTCCCAGAGCAGCCCTACCAGCACCAAGGCTCCTGCCTGCTCTTATCTCTGATCAGTTCCAGGGCATTTATCTCTGTGAAAACCATGGAATCCTAATGAAACACCTCCAAGTCAGTCTCTCCTCATGATCAAAAAAGCCATTTTCACCCATCAAAAAAGCCATTTTCCCAGCCTGGCATCCCCTCCTCTCCCACCCATG